CATCCATCCATCCATCCACCCACCCATCCATCCACCCACCCACCCTTCCATCCATCCATTCACCACCCAGCCACCCACCCATCCATTCATCCTTCTGTCTTTTGGCCCACCCACCCATATTCACCAGCTCCCACTCTGACCTTGAGCTGATCACTAGAGAAACAGGAGAACCAAACTCGGCGCTAACCTTGTGGGGCTCTCCGTCCAGTGGAGGAGACCAGGGCAGACAGATAAATTATAAGCCTTCCTGGTAAGGATTACTGCAGAGACCAGAGCAGGGTGTTTGGAAGGAGGGGACAAACCACTGGCAGGCTGAACGCAATCCCTGTCTCCACACATTGCCTCACATCCCCCCTCAGCTCCCTGGCATCAGCCTACAAGCAGCCCCTTGAGGGTCAGGACTAGGGAACTCCTTACTCATCCTTCAGTGCCCCAATACCCATGACCCTTCTCCTGGAGGTCCCCGAGGCCTTGTTTCTCCCTCTAGCCCACTCCTAACCATGGGGATGGAGGTGTGTATGTCCAGTTTTGCCTCCTCCAGTTCCTTGAGGGCTGAGATTAGGAAACTCCTACTCATCCCTCAGAGCCCCAGCTCCCGTGCCCCTCCTGCAGGTGGGCCTGGCTGAGTGCTCACCGCAGGTTGGTTTTCTGCACAGAGAAGCAGTACTCTTTGATGCCGGTGGTGGGCATGCGGCTGCGGAGCACGTCCTGTGCTGTGGGGATGTAGCCCTCCTCGGTGATGCGTTCCAGGTGGGACAGGTAGCTGCGGAGCAAGGAGCCCTGAGGCCCAGCTTTCGGTCCCCGCTTGCTTCTCAATCCCCCCCCCCCCGACTCATGGCCCAGAGAGGACCCTGCTGGGGGAAGAGACACCCTGGGTGGGGCCAGAACCTCTGGGGTCTGCAGGTGGCCAGGAGCACCCCGAGGCGGTGGGAGTGTCAATGAGAAGTAGGTTTTCCTGGAGCAGCCCGGCGCCGAGAATAGCCGGATGTCGAGAGCACATCATCAGGAAGCAGTGTCACCCCAGTAGAGCTGCGCCCCCAGAGCTGCTCAGCCATGAGAACGGGGATAGACCAGGAATGGTCTCCCTAGGTAGCAAAGCACCCCAGATGGTCCAGTGTCACCCCAAGAACAGCAGCGCTCCAGGAGCCAGCATCACCTCAGAACAGTGTTACCCCAGAACAGGGTTCCCCAGAAAATGGTTACCCCAGGAGCAGTGTCACCCCAAGAAGGGTTACCCCAGAGCATTGTTGCCCCAGGAGCAACTTCTCCCTAGGAATGGGGTTGCTCCAGGAAGGGCGTCACCCCAAGAAGGGTGTCACCCGCACAGGGTTACCCCAGGAGCAGCATAACCCCAGGAATAGTGGCACCCCAGAAGCGATAATATCAGCCCACCGTCTGTGTCCCACATCTTTCCCTCGCCGTGGGGAGTGGGCTGGCCTGGGGCCCCCACCCGGGTTCCGGTCCCCTGGGTGGGGTTGGCTGTATCTCCCTCTGGCTGTGCCCAGTGCTCCCTCCCCCTCATGCTGCCCACCCATCCTCCGACCCCTGTGGGCCCTCCCTCCCCCTC